TCCTAAGCAAAAGACATTTGTGGGTAAAATCTCAAGTTAATAATAAAGTACTTAAAAGAAGCACGATCTAGGTTTACAGCTGTCAACTGACAAAACAAAGTTATGCCTGCTTAGTCGAGGACGTAAACGATTTCTGCCTAATGTAACAGTTACGAACGCTCATTGACTTCCTTAAACTGCTTTAAATACTTGGTGTTGTGGCTAGATAGTAACCTACTCTGGAACAATCACATTAATGAGATCACAGAAAGATGTAATAAGTTTTTAAATCTACTAATGGTATTGTCTGGGTCATCGTGGGGAGTTCATCCCAAACAAATTAGTCAGCTGTATATTTCTTTAATAAGAAGTAGAATCTATTACGGTAGTTTTTTATTTGATAATTGCGCTAATGTCCACTTATCAAAATTAGATAAAATACAAAATAAAGCGTTAAGGGTTATTGGTGGTTTTATCAAAAGTTCTCCAACACATGTAATGGAAAGCGAACTTAGCGTACCTCCACTTTATATTAGAAGACTATATCTACCTTATAAATATGTTTTAAAAGCCAGCTCTTTTTCGAATAATGTTACAATTGATTTTTTGAAGCAACTTAGCACTCTATGTGAAACAAGATATTGGCAACGCAAGAAAAACCCAATATTAGTTAAATCTTATAATGAGACTAAAATTATGAATATACAATCATCTCTTTTTCTCGAATCATTTTCGCTTAACACTTGGTTGTCCAGCATTGATATTGAAAATATATTATTAAGTAAATTAGAGTCTCTAAAACAATCCAAAAAATTATATGAAAAAAATTCTCTTGAAAATAAGTACCATGATTGGCATAAAATCTATACAGACGGATCAAAGAGTACTAAGTTGCAAGGAGCAGCTTTTTTCGACTCATCTCGAGCAGTTTCTAGAAGTTATAAAGTTACTAATGACGTTTGTATTATGACCCTTGAACTCATTGCAATATCCGAAGCCCTAAGGTATGCCGCAAGCTATAACTGGAACAAAATTATTATATACTCGGACAGCAAACAGTGGTAGAGCCACGCGGCAGCTTCTGCTGTAGCACGGATGGGCCGGCTCAAACCGGGGTAGTACCACTCACAGAATACCAGCGTGAAGTAGAGGTTTACCTCTGCGTTCCGCTTGGTGAGTGCAGGTGGCCGGAGGCCCAATCCTCCCTCCCCCCCATCAACATGGTAGAGGAATTGAACAGAAGACTACCCCAGGTCCTCCTGGGGTAGTCTTCAAAAGAGAAGGCCGACCTTTTAGGCTCCCTTTTGCGTCCAACTCGACTGTTGATGACGGGGGGAACATACCGCCGACCATCCCGCGGTGTGAGTGCTCCATGCCAGATGTGCGGTTCTCACAGCGTTCGGTTCGCAGAGCACTCCTCTCCCTTGACATCCACAAGTCGAGTGGGTCGAAACCGAACCTGGGTCGACGCATCAATGTCCCGGGATGTAAATACCAGCGCTCTTAAAAAGAAGTATAATTCCGCCTCCAGGTCCTTCAAAAGTGTCATTGCAAAGGCAAAGTCAGAGCACATCCGCAGAATTGGCGAGAAACTAGTTCACCTCCCTTCGGTAACACGTGCATTCTGGTCTCTCGCCAAGGCTGTCCAAGGGAACTTCTGTCAGCCATCTCTGCACAGGGCGGACGACTCACTGGCCCATGACGCAAAAGAGAAAGCCGATCTGCTAGGCTCTCGTTTTGCTTCCAACTCGACTCTAGATGACGGGGGGAACACACCGCCGACCATCCCGCGGTGTGAGTGCTCCACGCAGGAAGTGCTGTTTACACAGCGCTCGGTGCGTAAAGCACTCCTCTCCCTGGACGTCAACAAGTCGAGTGGGCCTGATGGAGTCCCACATATTGTACTGAAGACGTGTGCTCCGGAGTTGGCACCGGTTTTAACGCGTCTTTTCCGGTACTCCTACTCCATTGGCGTAGTCCCGAACTCATGGAAGACAGCTTTGGTGCACCCGATCCCTAAAAAAGGCGACCGCTCAGATCCGTCCAACTACAGGCTTATTGCTATCACCTCCTTGTTCTCCAAAGTAATGGAAACCATTATTAACATCCAGCTCATGCGGTACCTTGAGGATCACCAGCTGATTAGTGACCGCCAGTACGGTTTCCGTCGAGGTCGCTCAGCTGGTGATCTTTTAGGTTACCTAACTCATAGATGGGCCGAGACAGTGGAGTCCAAGGGGGAGGCGTCGTCCGTTAGTTTGGACATAGCGAAGGCCTTCGATCGGGTTTGGCACAAAGCGCTTTTTTCGAAGCTCCCTTCCTATGGGCTTCCCGAGAAATTGTGCAATTGGATCACCAGTTTTCTTGCAGATCGGAGCATCAAGGTCGTAGTAAACGGTGCATGCTCCGATTACTAGTCCATTAGCGCTGGTGTTCCACAAGGCTGCGTGCTATCACCAACGCTGTTTCTTCTGCATATCAATGATATGTTGCAAACCAGTAACATTCATTGCTATGCGGACGACAGCACTGGTGATGCTTTATACACCGGCCGTGCCAATATTTCTCTGGAAAACGTCGCCGAATACCGGAACAAACTTGTGTCTGAAGTCGAGACTTTGTTGAACAAAGTCTCAGACTGGGGTCGACTAAATCTAGTCCAGTTCAATCCCCAGAAGACACAAGTTTGCGCGTTTACCGCTAAAAAGAACCCCTTTGTCGTATCTCCTCAGTTTCAATGCACTCCCCTTGTTGCCTCAGCAAGTATCGGAATCCTTGGTGTCGACATAGTGTCGTACAGTTTCGTGGTCACTTGGAAGAGAAGGGCAAATTGACCTCTAAAAAGCTTGGTGCAACTTTACAAGGTGCAGGTTCGGCCTCACATGGAATACTGTTCCCATCTTTGGGCAGGGGCTCCCCAGTGCTAGCTCCTTCCACTTGACCGCATCCAGCGCAGAGTGGTTCGAATCGTCGACGACCGAGTTCCTTCCGATCGGCTTGACTCATTGGCACTGCGTAGAGATGTTGCATCTCTTTGCGTGTTTTATCGCTTCTATCACGGGGAGTGCTCTGAGGAATTGTTCGGTTTAATTCCAGCCGCCCAATTTCACCATTGCACATCGCGACAAAACTCGCGGTACCATCCATACCATCTGGATGATTGGCGGTCCACCACTGTGCGATTTAGAAGAAGCTTTCTTCCTCGCACAACTTCCTTGTGGAATCGATTACCACCAGCGATTTTTCCGGACCGATACAACTTAGGGACCTTCAAGAAAAGAGCCTACTCCTTTTTAAAAGGCCGGCAACGCATCTGAGATTCCCCTGGTGTTGCAGTTGTTCATGGGCGGCGGTAGTCACTTATCATCAGGTGAGCCGCAGGCTCGTTTGCCCCCTCTCCTATAAAAAAAAGCAAAACTGCTATTCAATATTTGGCTCGATCCACCTCTGGAATCAGAGGTGTTTCGATAGCCTATTGCAGATACGCGATATCTGTGCAAGAGTGCAATGGATTCCATCACACATTGGTCTATTGGGTAATGAGGAGGCAGATAGATTAGCAAATTCTCCTTGTATAAATGGTGTAGAGTATAATATTTACCCTTGTTACTCAGAAGTATTGCCAAAATTTAGAAATTCATGTCACGAATGGAAAGAATTTGTCAATGAATGCTCCAAAACGAAAGGTATTTGGCACAAAACGATACAGAGTGAGTTGCCTCGAATACCCTGGTTTATAGACACAAAATTAAATAGAAATATTATTAAAATAATGTTTAGAATAAGAACAGGTCACATTCCATCAAACAATTTTTCTTATCTGATGAAAATAACTGATTCACCTAACTGTGAAACGTGTGGGGTAATAGAAGACTTACATCATTTTTTAATGGAATATGAGCGAAACCGAGAGGCAAGGGAATTATTTGTAAGGACCTATAAGATAAATGTGTACAATATGGGTATTGCGCAAGGCATTCTATTCTACATGCACCAACCTCGGATATTGCATTCAGTATGTGCAGATTAATAGTAAATGTATAGATTTTAAGTTAGTTATAATGGCATTGACAAGTTAAAAAATAAAAATCCCTAAATAAATAAGAAAAAAAAAGTATTTCTTGGTTTTCTCGCAACGAGAAATATCATAGCAGAAAATTTTAAACAATAATGTGCAGACTTAGATTTGGCCACTATCGACTGAACGCTCATCTTTCCAGATTGAGAATAGTAGCATCTGCAACATGCAACTTCTGCGATACAGAAGCAGATCAGACTGCAGAACATATAACATTTAACTGCCCAGCGTACGCCATAGAAAGATTGCTACTCATTGAAAAACTTATACAAGTTTAAGAAAACTCAGAAAGCGTCCAGCGTGCCCTGCAAGATGTTCTTAGGAATACTAAGACTTATTTAGCACTTTGCAATTTTATTCATAATACTGTAAAAGAAATATGAAATATGGTATCTCTGTTTTTGAAAATATTGGATTGACAAATCTACATGGATTGAAACTTACAAAGATTATAATATAAAGAAGACTTGGCTTTGCCTTTACAGTTTTTGAAAATATGAAGAATTAAAGAAAATAAGACTTGGCTTCGGCCTTTATGGATTTTGAAGAGATGGAAAGAAGAAAAATAATACTTGGTTCCGGCCTTTACACTTTAAAATTCTATATATTCAAAATAAAAAAGACAAGGCTGTATGGCTTAGTTCCTTTGCCTGCTCTTTCGAGCGAATAATAAAAACAACAACAACAATCAATGTCAACTTACGTCAAAATTGACTTAATAACAAACTTAAAAAAATTGGAAAATATAAGTCGGTACTTCTTAAAGTTTGTGTTGTGTTAAGAATTATTAAATATGTACATATTTTGATTTGGGCTGCTTACGCTTTCAGCAAAGTAATATATATATTTAATATGTAAATATTATAAAATAACATAACTAAGATAATATTAGGAGGCTAATCAGATCTTTTTTGAAGTAACTATAAACCAAGCAAATATCACGATGTCTGGAAAGAAATGTAAGCATTGTGGTTCATCAGAGATAGAAGTAGACCCAGCTCGAGGTGACGCAGTATGTACCAATTGTGGTACAGTTCTTGAAGACAATATAATAGTGGCTGAGGTTGAATTCCAAGAAAACGCGCATGGCGGTGCTTCAGCTATTGGTCAGTTCGTGTCTGCGGAGTCAAAAGGTGGCGCCTCAGGATTTGGAAGAGGTAAAAATATTATCTGGGATTGATTCATTCATTTTGTATCTTTAAATATTAAGTCTTGTAATCTAAAGTATTCTAACGCAAGCTTGAATAATAATTAAGTCTGTTATAATCTGAATTTAGTACAGAGGTAGGAATATACAACCTTATATTTCTGAACCTCTGAACTAAATTTCAGACAATATTATCTAAATATAGCTTTGGGATTGAAATTGCCAAGTTTTAGGTTGTAATGAAGTGGATACTGACACATCTTATGCTTGTATAGTTTCTTGGCAGTGGATGGCTCAAGTTAGTTTTATAACTGCTAAAATACTTAAGCAGACGGGTTGGCTATAGATGTCCGGTACTTGATTTTAATTATGTTTTCAGTTTAGGAGGCTTGTTAGGGTTAAGCTTGAACCTTTTACACTGTTTTAGGATGTCGGTAATGCGTTTTGAATTAATTAAGATAAAATCAAATTTCCCTAAAAATTGCACATAATGAAATGGGATACCCATAAATAAGTTTATTACTAGGACCCAGACAATCCATTTGTGGTTGAAGGTGGGACTCATACATAACAGAGTCGCAGTGGAGAGCAGTCAAAGAGCTTTTTCAGAAAACAAATTAAAACAATTCACATTACATTGTTTAATTCACCACTATCATAGCAGATAGCAGAGTTTAGGGCAACCTGACTTTATAGATAAGATAGGTTGAATCTGTACTAAAACAGAATCAGAACCCCCAACTCCAAGTAGTCTTGTCTGCCCATGTTTTTGTAAAGCCATAGGCATGGGGGAAAGCAGGCCTTGCCCGCTATAGCAACATCACTTCTGCAGCTTCAGCTTATTGGTCACCTTGGGCGACCAGCCTCAGTCTCTACGCCTCACACAGGTGCTTACGATTTGCTACGCAAAGGCAAAGAGGGCGGCACTTCCCGCAGCGCCGAAGCCGTTGCAGAAGTAACTTTGAGTCAATATTCCTGTGTAAAAAAGTAAGGTTATGATTTTACAATAAAAATATAACTCATAAACTATACATTTCTGTAACGGGGGAAGGGTACCCGGGGATTCCCCTGCACCCTTCGCCTCCCCTCATCCCTCGTACATGAATACCGGATGTCTATAGTTTTACCGAGCAGACTTCCATAAAAGATATATATATATATATATACAATATTTTATATTACAATAAATTTTTTATAGTCTTTCTCTTTTTAACCGACTTCAAAAAGGTGGAGGTATTCAATTCAACTGTATTTTTTGTGTTATCTCGTAAATTTTTCTAGGTGAAATGATTCTGATGATTCTTTTTTTTATTTGAAAGCTGGTGCTTCTCACATGATCCCATATTAAATTTTTAATTTTATATGGAATCACGTGAGAATTAAATTTGTTTAATTTTACCACTTGTTGTAACGAAGCAATTTCTTTAGTTCTGCTATATTTTGCATATTCTTTAATATGGATTTTAGAAGCTAATAATTGAACAGTTATTTATTTTTACTTTGTTAAAAATATATAGGTAATAATACTCTTGGATTTTAGCTTTTACTGTCGGGATTGGTCAGGAATCAAGAGAAGTGACTCTGAGAAAGGCTCGCGATGGCATTACAGCACTTTGTCAACAATTACGTCTTAATCAGCAATGCATTGACATTGCCTGTAATTTCTTCAAGATGGCCTTATCACGCCATCTCACCATCGGACGTCCATCTAGTCATACTCAAGCTGCCTGTGTTTACATGACATGTAGAACAGAAGGAACTGCACGTATCCTTTTCATAAATAGTTTCATGAAAAAACTTAACTTTGAATGATATCGGAGTAACAGTGTTGATTGATATGCTTGCTTAGCCAATTTCAAACACAACAACAACCTTAGAATATAATTGGAAGTTATCTATTGTGCAGGGCTTATTATACTCACAAAAGTACACTTACCACTACAAGCACAAGTGCACTCACATACACAACAGCTGCACACTCATCCAAACATTGGGTATGTTCGGAATCTACCCATATCTGATGAAGAAGGGGGTTTTAGGGGAATTTGTCCACAGGTGGATGTCTGCTTTTGTATGGTTGCTTAGCAACTTCCCTTTTAGTGAAAAATATACAATAGTTAAACAATAAAATTTTTATATATAACTTTCAGAACAGTGACGTTTAGTGTTTTAAAATGTCTGCACATGTGCACTATTAGAATTAACAGAGAAATAAGTGTTCCAGTGGTGATATAAACCTCAAGAGATTTTGTTCACTTAGGTATCTTAAGAACTTGACATAAAACTGTCATCAACAGTCTGCTGGCTTAAGCTCCGGTCAAAACCTAAAAGCTTTAAAATATGGAGCATCAACAAATTCTGTAGAAATTTGTTATCATATTTACTTACTTACTTACTTATCTTCACGCACAATCCCTGACGGGGTAGCCAGAGAGAACAGATCGCCAAGTGTCACGATCCTTACATATCTCTTTCGCTTCTTTCAGATTCATTATCTTCTTCATACATGCACGTCTAGGTATCCGAGTACTCTTGGCCCTACCCTCTTCGAGCAATTTGCTCACATGGTCTTCAAAAGTTAGTCTCGGTCTACCTCGACACCTTTTAATATTAACTTTCGCGCTATATATTTTCTTCACCATTCGGTCTTCACTCATTCGCTCAACGTGCCCAAACCACCGAAGCACGCCCTTATCAATTTTTGTGATAAGGTCATCTTTCAAACCTGCCATATTGCGAATCTCTTCGTTTCGCTTTCGGTCGGCCATAGTAACGCCGCACATTTTACGAAGAGATCGCATCTCCACTGCATTCAACTTACTTTTATGCTTCTTCTGGCATACCCAGGTTTCGCTGCCATATAACAAAGTCGGTACCAACACTGCGTTATGTATTGCAAGGCGTGCACTCTTCGCTACGCCTTGCCTTTTGACTAACGCAGTCAGGGCACCATTGACTTTGTTCCCGGCAGCGACACGCCTGTCCACATCTAAATCACATCTTCCATCCCGGCTAAAAGCACTCCCCAAGTATACAATTTCATTTACCTGTTCTAGACATTCCTGATCTACCCATATTTCACACTTCGTTCTCTCTTCGTCCCTTTCAAATACCAGAACCTTAGTTTTATTAGCATTCAAACGGAGACCTTTAATTTCACATTCCTCTTTCATACACGTGACTAATGCCTGCAGTTCTGCCTCTGATGGTGCAATAAGCACTGCATCATCAGCATACAGCAGACAATTTACTTTTATGTCACCCAATTTCACACCCAAACAGCTATCTTTCAGCTTTTGTAAACAGCTGTCGAGATACAGTATGAACAGCCAGGAAGACATGACACAACCCTGTTTTACGCCCGTTTGGACGCTAAACATGGGTGACAGGTCATGCCCTACCCGCACACAGGCTTTACAGTCACAGTAAAGAGACTGCACAGCCCTTAGCAATCGGCCATCCACACCATACCCCGGCAACAGTTCCCACATTTTCTTCCTTACAACCTTATCAAATGCTTTCTCAAGATCCACAAAAGCACAGAAAATCTTCTGGTTAGCAGCCAGAAGCTTTTTCGTGATCATACGGAGAGAAAACATTTGATCCGTGCATCCTCTTCCAGGTCTAAATCCGCATTGTGCCTCCCATAGAAATCTTTCCGATTTCTCTTGCATTCTACGTGTCAAAACCTTCGAGTAAACTTTACTTGCTAAACTGGTCAAGCTGATCGCCCGATAGCACCCGCAGTCAAAATGTGAACCTTTACCTTTATATAAAGGCACAATGACTGCGGATCGCCAATCATCCGGGACATCCCCCGTCCGCCAGCACAAATTGCACAGCAGATGAAAGCTGTCCCAGACGCGAGGCCCACCATACTTGACCATTTCAGCAGTAACTCTGTCTAGTCCCACAGCCTTACCACATTTCAAACTTCGAATCGCACGTTCAATCTCTTTCATACTGATGACCTCAGTGTCATCGAGGTCCGGGTCTGGCGTGCCAGTCACGGCGTCATCCCCGGATCCCTCACTAAGATCATCACACGCATACATTTCTCTATAAAATTCGCTCCATCGCTGCATGACGTCCGATTTTTCTGAGAGGACGTCATTAGTTCTCGAAAGCACTTTGTTCATTCTTAAGGCCGTCGCACCACTTCGGGTCCTTCCAACCTCTTTCCAGAAGAGTTTGGAGTTCTCCTTAAAGTTGTGCGACAACCTTTCATCCGCTTCCATTCTACACCTTTCACGCACTTCCTCAATCAATGCTTTCGTGTGAACTTTCTGCAGCTTATATCTTTCTTTCATCTTCTCTCTCATATCCTTATCATTACTAGAGGCCAAGTAGTCTAACCATGCTTTCTTCTTCTTCTTTACAGCTTCTTTCACTTCATCATTCCACCATGCATCTCTTCTTTTACTACTGCCTCTTTTTATTGTTCCACACACTTCTTCCGCTGCACTTACCATTCCATCCCTAAGGTTTTGCCATGTTCTTTCTACACATTCGTTTCTGCCATCGATGGTGTCAAGCTTTTCGGCTACCCTCGCATGATATTTGTCCCTAGTATCCGCTTCCTGAAGCTTCCAGCTTCGGATGCGACAGACCGACTGTGGTTCTGTCACTGTCGTCCTGTAGCGCCAACCCGCGAACAGACCCCTAAATCTAGTAATCACTAGATAGTGATCCGTTCCCAGGTCAGCACCCCTGAACACTCGCGTATCCATAACCTGTTTTCGCAGTCGGTCATCCACCAGGAACAAATCGATCATACGAGTACTTCTCTCATTCTTTCTTTCTCTAGTATACATATGGATTTTCTTGTGATTAAACATAGTGTTTGTCACAAGAAGACCCTTTTCCTTGCATACCGCCAGTATAAGCTTGCCAGCATCATTAACCCTTTTATCGCCAAATTTTCCAAGTACCGACTCGTACCCTGGTCGAGCGGTACCAACCCATCCATTCAAATCACCACATACAACAATCCTTTCGTTTCCCCTAGCCAAATCTAGAACTTCTCTTACATTCTCCCAAAACTCCTCCAGCTCAGCCCTGGACGACGAAGCCACCGGCGCATAAACAGCCAAAAGGAATAACTTCGTCAGTCCCAATTTAAAGCGAACCCAGAGAAGTCTTGAGTTCACAAACTTATATTCAGTCATAACATCGACCAACCGAGAAGACAGCAGCACCCCCACTCCCTGGCAGGCGTTCTCGCTCTCCGGGACTCCGGACCATAGAGCAAACGCCCCGCCCAGGAGCTCTTCAGTACCACTGCCCTTCCGTTTGGTCTCCGACATACACACGACATCTAATTCTCTTTCTTTCATTATTTCGATCAACTCATTCGTCTTATCTCTCATGCCTCCTCTAACATTCCACGTGCCAACTCTGCACTCCGTCCTCCACCTTCCGCCGTATCATATTTATATTTCCTGAAATTCATTACAGTGTTCAATATCATCTTTTTGGTTGAATGCATTGTAGCTAGTACCAAATGATAAAAAAATCTGATGTATCACTTGCAACAATATTGAAGTTTTACGTGGTAGAGCCATGCTGCAGCTATATTAATAGTATAGTTGTAGCACGAATGGGTCGGCTCGACCGGGGAAGGACCACGCTCTCACAGAATACCAGCGTAAAATAGCAGCTTAATGCTGCTGTGTTTCGTATGGTGAGTGTAGAGAACCGGAGACCCATTTTACTGGAAAAGTGACATTCTATCTTAGTCCTCACGGGTGACAACGCATCTGCATTTTGATTCGCAAACGAAGATAGATGTAGATGTCTATGGGCCGCAGCAACCACTTACCATCAGGTGGACTGTGTGCTCGTTTGTCACCCTTAATTCTATAAAAAAAAAAGTTATGATGCAGTGTCAACATAAGATGTTTACTCTTAGGAGGTGAACATGTGATGCAGTCGTTAGAGTAACTGGCTACTATATAGATGATATATAGACATGGGTCATTTTAGTTTAGTTTACGACAGGCCGTTTTCCGCAACTCCACGTCTACGTCCATGTTCTTCCTCCCCCATACATGCCCTGCACAGGGACCTGGGTTATTAATTTATTTCTATTGACCCAATCATTCAAGTATTGTTTCATCTTACAAACCGGGTCGACAATTCAAATGGATCATTTTGAGTTCCAGTACTTTCTGTGAGACCTGCTCGATAATGTTGGTCGTTGGACATTACTATGCGATTTGGTTGTAGGTGTAGTCAATCGTTTGATCCGAAACATTCAAAAATATAATTGCAATCATCAATACTTTGATACGTCATTGAACCGGGTCAATGGAACGAATCATTCACGATTGACACGTGTAGTGGTAAAGCTCCTTTTCTGCCTAAGAGTTTGTATGGGTTGGTACCACACACTTAGTTTTTGCTACCAATAATTTTGCATCTTTTAACATTTTTCTTTTCAGTAAATATTGGCAGTTATAAGAAAAACATCAACTATTTATGTTATTTAATTGAAAATGGTATAAGAAATTAAGCCCAACCAAAATAGCGATGAAAAAGATAACTTGACGCTTTTAACCATATCATTAGTTTTAGTAGTGACTAGACGTGTGCGCCGATGCTAGAATCATTGACGACGGGTGCCTGACTAAAATCGGCGGCGGCGGCGTGTTTTCGGCGCGGAGAGTTTTAATCAGTGGCGTAGCTATGTAACCAAGGGCCCCGGGGCAAAAATGAAATTCGGGCCCTATTTAAACTAAATACTTTAAAGGTGCAAAACTACTTCATCGTCAGCTCATTGTCGCCTATTGCAGGGCATAATAAAGCAGAGCTACTTACTGCTAAGTATTATGTGTAACGCATAAACAATGACGAAGTAGATCACAGTTAATAACATAGGCAGACAACATAACATTGAAAGAGCCACACGGCAGCTTTTGCTATCGCAGGGGTGGGCTAGACTAGATGGAGTGACGACCTGGTAAGACATGAAATGAGGAGCTGTAATGAATGAATGTAATTAATGGGTGGACCGGCACAAACCGAGGAGATCCACGACCTTACAGATAACCAGCGTGAAGTAGAAGTTTACTTCGCCTGTTAAGTGCAGGTAGTCGAAGGCCGAAGCCCTCTCCCCCTTAACATTGTAGTGTAATTAAATAAGAAACACTTCTGGTACTGGAGAATTCCTGGCAGAGCATCCACGCCCAAGCTACACTACTCTTCCTTAGAGCGGGTGCTAAGACTGTCTCGCGTATCTTAGGGAGGGGGAGGGGGGGGCGAAATTCCACTCAAGACTAATACTGCTCATGGCAAGTAGAGCAATAAGACAAAGGTGACCCACGCCACGCCATCCGTGAATTTCTGCGACATCAGGGAATTTCATTCGCACGTTAACGAAGTCCACTAGGTACCATCTGAAGACGACGAAGCCGACCTTGCTCTTTCTAACTGAGGCGTAGGTATCCTCTCCGTTCGATACTTCTCTCCTATCCGGGGTATAAATTATAACACCTTTGTGCTTCGGGCTGAAGTTTGCATATAAGTCAGAGACATCTGTTCTCGACGCCGTTTTGAATTTTTGAATTTTAGCGACGACTTTCCTGTCATCTACGGGTGCCTCTATAGGTAATGCCGACACAGACCAACTTATTAACCACGTCCAAATCTCTGCAGACTCCGTGCTACAACAGGTCTCGTCTGCAGATATCGTGATCCTTGGTGATTTTAACGGCCACCACGTTGAATGGCTTGGTTCTCGTTTAACCGATCAAGAATGGTCCGACACAAATTACCGACTTAACGTCTCCATGGCGTAGTGGCTTAGCAATGAGTTACAACGCTTGGGGCCGCGGGTTCGAATCCCGCACGGAACAAGTATTTGTATGGCCTACAAATAATTATTCTGGGTCTGGATGTTTGTCCTTGTGCAATATATGTTTGTAAACTGCCTCCACGATACAGGAGAAAATCCTAGTGTGGGGGTAACGTTTAAAAAAAAAGATAAAAGATAAATGGTTACTTCATCTACACGGATTCTAGATGTGGAGGATAGTGCATCTTCCCCGTTGGACCTTCTGCTGACTTCTCATCCGGACGGATATCAGGTCTCCGTCGACGCTCCTCTTGGCTCATTAGGCCATTATCTGATCCGGACTATGGTGTCACTCCCACTCCCATCGCGGTTGCGTTCTGCAGATCGCCGCCGTGTTTGGCACTACAGGTCGGCCTATTGAGACAGAATACGGTCTTTTTTTGCATCCTCCCCTTGAGGACAGGGGCGGGTATGCATCTCGCCGGATGATCCCAACGTACTTCTGTCGTTGATGTGGTACTTCAGGTAATGGGACTCTTTATTCTATCATATGTGGTGCCTAGTTTGGTCGCTCCTGTAAAATTGCATCGCGCTGTAATAGGAGTGCTTCACCAGTGCTGTTAAAAAGAAGTATAATTTCGTCTTCAGCTCGGTACGATACGGTTTACACCAGCGCTCGGTGGGCATAGCACTACTCTCCCTAGAGGTCAAGTCGAGTGGTCGATTGTGCTGAAGATGTGTGGGAGCAACACACATCGCAGTCGTAGTTGACACCAGTCGTAACGTGTCTTTTCTAAAACTCTTTCTCCCTAGGTGTAGTCCCGAACTCAAAGAAGACAGCTTTAGTGCACCAGATCCGTAAAAATAACCGAAAATCGACCGCACAAACCTATTCAACATGTTCTCCAAAATAATGAAAACCATTGTGATGCCAGGTCATGAGGTTGAGGATCACCAACTGAAAAGTGACCACCAGTACGGTTTCCGTCTGGGTTGCTCAGTTGGTGATCTTCTGGGTTACCTGACTCATAAATCGGCAGAGGCAGAGAGGAAGACCCTGGCCATTAGTTTGGACATAGCGAAGGCCTTCGATCGGGTTTGGCACAAAGCGCTTCTTTCAAAGCTCCCTTCCTATGGGCTTCCCGAGAATTAGCGCAACTAGATCAGCAGTTGTCTTGCAGATTGGAGCAACAACGTCGTAGCAGAAGGTGCATGCTCCATTTACAAGCCTATTTATGGTGGTGTTCCACAAGGCTACGTGCAAACCAGTAACGTGCACTAGTGATGCTTTATACACCGGCTGTGCCTATGTTTCTCGGGAAAACGTCAACTAGTACCGGAACAAACTTGTGTCTGAAGTTGAGTCTTTGCCGGATAAGGTCTCGGATTGTGGCGACTAAATCTAATTAAGTTCAATGCCCAGAAGATAAAAGTTTACCACTAAAAAGAACCCCTTTGTCGTAACTACTCAATTTCAGGGCACTCCCCTTGTTACCTCAGCCAGTATCGGAATCTTCGGCGTTGACATATCGAAAAACGTGCAGTTTCGGGGTTACTTGGAAGGGAAGGCTGAATTGGCCTCTAAAAAGCTTGGCGTGCTCAGTAGAGCGGGACAGTATTTTATGCCGGCACACTGCTTGCAACGTTACAAGGGCCAGGTTCGGCCTAACATGGAATACTGTTCTCATCCCTGGACTGGGGCTCCCTATTACCAGCTCCTTCCACTTGACCTTATCCACCGCAGAGCGGCTCGAATCGCCGACGACTGACGAAGACGAAAGATGATCGAGAGAGAGACGACTAAGAGATCTTGCATCCCTTTGCGAGAAAGTTCAGAGGAGTGTTCAGAAAAATTGTTCGGATTAATTCCAGCCACAAAATTTCATCAACGCGTTTCACAAATTCACATCAGCGGGATGTTTAGCGGTCCACTACTGTCGGACCGATATGACTTAGGGGGCTTCAAGAAACGAGCTTACTCCTTTTTTTAAATCCGGCAACGCGCCTGCAATTCCCCTTGTGTTCTATTTGTTAATAGGTGGTGGTCGACACTTGCCATCAGGTGAGTCGTATGCTCGTTTGTCCCTCTCTTCTATATAAAAAGGCAATAAGACGAAGTAGACAATTATCTTTAACAATGTTCTATTTATGTTCTGGAAGTGGGAGTAATTTTTGTGATTTGAATTCGAGCCGTTTGCGGTCAGGGGCCAAAAAGTTAAAACTCGAAAATTCTTTATACAACTAGGATAGCACATAATTTTTGGAATTTCGTTCTTGGAGGCCGCTTTAGATTGGGGGCCCCGGGGCATTGCCCCGCCTAGCCCCTGGGTAGCTGCGCCACTGATTTTAATAAAACTATCTGGCTTAGGTATAGATTCGTTTTTATTATAAAAAACCAGGTACAATTTAAAAAATCACAAACATAAATATCACACCTCCCGCCCTCCCCCAATTGCTGGTGTCTGTTCGATGCATAACATGTACCGGAGTTTCGTGATTGAATATATTCATTAGATCATCATAATAATACTATATTAACATGTTATGTTCATGGGTAAAGAGTAGGTTGTCCGACTTTAAACATAATAATGTAACAAAAGTATGCTAGCAAATATCCCAATGATTTTAAATATGTTAAAAACTAACTTGCTAAACTTTTTAAAAACCTTTAGCGTTCAGCAACCGCAGAGTCTACTTCACCGGCGATGCCTCGCGTAGAGACGAAACACGTGTCGTGTTATCGACGGTGGTGTGTCTTTTCTAGTGTTGTTGGGAGTAGTGGTGCTGGGATTAGTGGGTGGTAGATCACGCAATTGAGGGAGGGCGGGAGGTGCACTTCAGACTAGGTAAGACACATCATTTTATTTTATCGAGCGGATGTATATGCGAGGTAATTTTTACCAACTTTAATAATAATGGATTTCCGCAAAGTAACGCCTGATTCAATCATTTTCATTCAAATTCATTAATATTAAGAAATATCCTGCTGCTGGTGGCAAGTTAAGAAATAACGGTATTGTGTTGCAAACTTTTAGCTATTTAATCATACTGATAAGGCTCCTCATATACTAGAGAACGAATTTCGGTCACGACGGCCAGTCTCAACATAATATATTATACTACAAGTCGCGGCACGTAAGTCTAGCGATGAACGAAACCGATAGCTGCGCATGGGTACTGCCGCGCACGTATCACGTATCAGTACGGGGGATGGAATACGACTGGTGAGCCAATCAGCGCGTGCGAACGATGCGCACGCCCGCCCCGCGACCCGCTTACTACTCCACGATACCTTATTTTCGACTTATGTGCACTAACGGTCACCGCTAGACTTACGTGCCGCGAATTATAGCCCTATTCATATTGTGCAAGTACAGGTGCAGTCTGTATTCCCTCACTGTTATAGCTGGTTGGGGCGCCAATTCTACACGACAAGAGAAAAGCAGGTGCAAGACCAACGGCTTTACGTCCTTTATAAGTACGAGCGTGAAACATCGCCAACTTGACTGCGAGCTGCTACTGAGAATTTCTTGACAAATATTCCTAATAACTGATATTTGACCCGACTCGGGATTCAAACCCGGACCCACATAATCGAGGCAGGTTAATAAGTATAGTTACTAGAGCATCAGTGTAATAGAAAAAGCTATTTTGCCGCAAGGAAAAGTTTTGTTCTATAATCTGATCAATATGACATGTAAAAACACATCAGCTTTTTCCTTAATAAATTTGCACAGATCTTTTAATCGACATAAGCGATGCACTTCAAATATGCTGCTATCAACTCGGTCGCACTTACTTCAGGCTGTCTAGAGCACTTTGTATCAACATTCCACCCACTGGTAAGTGATTTAACAATGTTTATATTAATACAAGTAAGTTTTATAATAAGATTAAAATACTAAGATAGTAATGTGGAGTTATATAGACTAATAATAATATAAAAACAGGCGCATACTCTGTTTGAGCATGCAGTAGGCGGACGTTGGGCGTATGTGACAAACACGCTATTGAATTAGTGTCCTAATAAAATAGCAGACGCTTGTGATGTTTGCCGCACGTGCCTGAAATTCTAACTAATGCGCGGTGTCTGAAATTCCCAGCAATATGCTGACTTGCTTTTGATTCATTAATGTTTAAAATATACGTCGGCCAACTAGCTACAAAGCTACGTTTTTGAATACACAACTAACCCTTCATTAACCGATGACCAATTTCATAATCTGCCTTTAGATGTCTCGTTAAAATATAAGGTCTAAAGTTGATTTTACTATTTTTTAACTTTTGTGTACCTACAAGTTTTATTTATATAATAATATTTTTTCAAAGAAAATACGTGTCAAAGCACTGATTTAGTTATATTAGGTAGGGGAAAAAGTTTCTTCGTACTTTTATTATTCAAGACATTTTTTTTTCAAAGTTTAATTACATTTAATTGCACTATATATCTATATATGCCATTTTGTTCGATAGCTTGTTGCCATCTTGTAGTTAGTGACATAATCCCGTTGAAATCTTGGGAATTTTTGATCATATAAATGCGACTAGTAGTTTTGACAGTCTCTTTTGATGTTAACCTAACACTGCCAAAAGAATTCTGAAGAGACTGAAACAGGTGAAAATCTGAGGATGCAAGGTCAGGACTATATCTCAATTTTTGCTGAATGACCAAATATGTGTGTAGTCTGGCGTTATCATGATGAAAGACCACTTCTTTTCTGTAGATCAATATCGGCCGTTTTTTTCTCAATTTCTTGCTTGAGTCTCATTAGTTGTTGGCAATAGAGATTCGAATCGATGCCGGCGATTTTGCCCGGCGGTAAAAGCTCATAGTAAACGATACCCTTCTAATCTCACCATATACACACCTTATTGCGTGTTAATCCGGGTTTCGCTACAGTCTGTGGAGCTTGACTACTCTTTGACCATGATCTTTTTCGCATGTTCTTATCATAGGTGATCCACTTTTTATCACCAGTGATCAATTTTCTCAAAAATGGTTCGGTTTCATTACGTTTCAATAGAGAATCGCAAATGTGTACACGATTCATTAGGTTTTTTGCAGTGAGCTCGTGGGGTACCCAAATATCGAGCTTTTTGTTTAGCCAGACCTTGAAATGAGTCAAAACTGTTTTGGGGCCAATCTTAGATAGAAGATAGAATGCCTCTTTTCCAGTAAAAAGGGTCTCCGGTTCTCTACACTCACCATATGAAACACATCAGCATTAAGCTGCTATTTTACGCTGGTATTCTGTGAGAGCGTTGCCGTTCCCCGGTCGAGCCGACCCATTCGTGCCACAACTATACTATTAATATAGCTGCAGCATGGCTCTACCACGTATATTATATCGTATATTTTATCCGTATGAGGGTGACCAGAGCGAGCTGCATCTTTGACATCAAAATGAAAACGCTTGAACCAACTTTGTGCTACTCTTACTGACACTGCATTAGGTTGATAAACGTCACAATTTTTTTTCGCGGCTTGATACACAATTTTTCTTTTTTCTAATAAAACTTGAATGTATCTTATTTCTTCGTTAGATTCACACATTTTGGCGAACAGGAAAACATTTGAAAAATGCCGGGAAAGCGTTATATACTTTTTATTTTTCTTTTTCTTAATGTCCTATATGTATTGATATTAAAACCATCCAGTCCACATACAAACAGTACTACCAATTTTTCTTCAATTTCATACAAACAAAATACGAAGAAAATTATGCTCTGGTATCGTAGCGACAGTTTACACACGTAAATTGCAAAAGGAGGAACATCTAGAGTCCAGACTCGAAACATTTATTTCAAGACCTTGCGATTAACACGTATTTCGTTCCGTGCATTTAATCCAACGGCTTTCAGCGGCGCAACTCATAGCTAAGGCGCTGCACCACGGAGTCGTCTAATCATGACTTTGTTTTATATGTCTATTTTAAACTATATTTTTCTGCATCAATCCGTAAGTCTACTGCTGGACATGGGTCTCGTCCACTGTAGGGAGGATTTGCCTTAACCGATTCGTTGCGGCACCGATTTTCGACAACTTTTAGCTGTGGCGGCGAACAAATATTTCATGACACGCCTATTGTGCCATCAGCCATGTGTAAAAGTAATGTTCTTTTTTATGCTTTTCCACTTGTTTAGACCTAATTAAGTTTAGTTGACATCAAACATAAGTTAAAAACGGAAGGATACTTGTTTTTAGTGGGTAACAACTACGTGTTTTCTTTGAAATTGAGAGTAAGTGACTTTTTTATGCAGATATTACAAAACTTTTGTACTATTTTTTTTAAATCATTTATATAAGTAGGTACAGCTAAATCACCCTGAAAAACCTTGGTTTTTATTAAATTAAATTTTCATCTAATAATAACATTTGTCAATATCAAACAATGAAGAACCTTAATTTGGAAAAAATAAGGTTTATGATTCATTGATATTTACAAATTAATGTTAAATATTACTCACTACCCCATATCTTCCCGTTGTACCTATCCAATTGCAGAGAGGTGTAAGACAGGGTGACGTTATATCCCCGAAACTCTTCACCGCTGTATTGGAAGACGTTTTGAAGCTTCTGGACTGGAAAGGATACGGTATTAACATCAATGCGAGTACATCACTCACCTTCGATTTGCCGACGATATAGTCCTTATGGCAGAATCGCTGGAGGACGTAAGCATTATGCTCAATGACCTCAATAGTGTTTCCCAACGGATTAAGATGAACATGGACAAAACAAAGATCATGTTTAATGTCCATGTCACACCTATGCCGGTAGTTGTTGGGAGCACTAAGCTCGAAGTTGTTGACGAGTATGTTTACCTGGGACAAATAGTCCGAGTAGGTAAGTCCAACTTCGACCGAGAGGTCAATCGACGGATTCAACTCGGTTGGGCAGCGTTCGGGAAATTACGACACATCATCTCGTCAGAGAGTATATCCGCAGTAGAATCAGAGTGACCGACATAGCCCAACGGATTACTAGGCTGAAGTGGCAATGGGCTGGCCATATAACTCGAAGAACTGACAGCCTATGGGGAAAAAAGGTTCTCGAGTGGCGGCCTCGTACCGGCGGACGAAGTGTAGAGCGTCCCCCAACTAGATGGAGTGACGACCTGGTAAGATATGCAGGAAGTCGATGGATGTAGGTGGCTCAGGACCGTGCTTTGTGGCATTCCTTGGGGGAGGCCTATGTTCATCAGTGGACTTGTGAAGGGCTGTAATGATGATGATACAAATGTAAAAAAAGTCGATCTGAATACGTTTAATTAGTAAGAATAGCAAAACAAGTGTTTTCAAAAGGCAAAAAACGCCGGCGCTATACGGCGGCGGATTGACAAAAGCGAACTTTTTTTTATGCATGAACGGTTTCGAACTGTTTCAAGCAAAAATAAACCTTATACCATATTACAAGAGCACATGGTCCTTCGTAGGTCTATTCGGCCATATGATAGTAATAAGACGGCAGTTCAACCGTTTTAAGCAAAATTAAACAATAAGACAAATGCATTGTTTTATTTTAACAGGAGACTTGTTTTCCAGAAATTTATTTACAACTTGAGTTTGTGAGCGATCGCAATGAGTGCTGTTATTTGTTACTTATTAGTCTATTTTTCCACAACAAGATTTAAAACCCACAAAGTAAAAATAGTACCATGCACACGTTAAAAAAAGGTTGTCAACCCGTAAAATTTCAAATTTTCAAAATATCCAGAAACGAAGCTGCAGGCATGAACTACTTGCAAAATAATGAATATTTTGTTCTGGATAAATCTTCCAAAAAAGCAATTTGAGCGAGTTATAACGATTTTTAAAAAGACACGACTCGCGTGTCATACGCTACACACAAAAGTAATCGATGGCACGCCTGGCGTGCCACCCGCACTGAACCGGTTAATCATCCGTGTTGGATACCAGTTAAATTCTGACGTGTTTCGTATGGTGAGCGTAGAGAACCGGCGACCTTTTACTGGAAATGAGGCATTCCGTCTTAGTCCTCACGGGTGACAACGCATCTCCATTTTGATTCTTAATCGCGGATATATGTAGATGTCTATGGGCCACAGCATCCACTTACTATCAAGTGGACTGTGCTCGTTTGTCACCCATATTCTATAAAAAAGTTTGCAGGTTGATTGACGATTGCATCATTGATGCTGCCACTGTATTGGTATTTTACATCTGGTGTACACGAGATGCTTCTTACCGCCATCTATCGGAAGCTATAAGATTCATTCCCATAGTCGCCTCTTACGTACCCATTGTACGAGTACTATTCCCATTTGACGATTTTTTTGAAAGTAAAACTTCTTTAGGCGCAACTGGAGGGAACGATGAACTTTTTTTTTAAATAAAATGAGAGTGACGAGTGAGTACACAGTCCACCTAGTGGTAAGTAGTTGTACTGTGACCCATAGATATCTACATCTATCCTCGATTCAGTATCAAAATGCAGTGGCGTAGCGTTGAACCTCAAAAGACTAAAATGGAATACCTTGTTACCAATTAAAAAGGTCACTCTTCCTTACAATACAAAAAAGCTGCATTGTGCTTCTATTTCACACTGGTATTTTGTGAGAGTGGTCCTACAGTCGAGCCAACCCATTTGTGCCGCAGCCATATATAACGGGTGTTTTTTTAAGCCCGATAGAACTTGAAATTGTAAAAAATAACACAAAAAATTAAATTGTAATCAAAATTTTTTTTTTATTCGAAAGATCAATACGTGACATTAACATTTGAAAATGATTTCGGGCATATGGGCACCGCGGCTGTTCTTGACGAAGCGCATTCTGCACGTCCAATTTTGGGCCACTTTTTCGAGCACTGCTGGCCGTATGTCACGAATAACACGAACAATGCTGGCCTCCAAGGCGTCAATTGTTGCTGGTTTATCAGCATAAACCAGTGACTTTACGTAGCCCCACAGGAAATAATCGAGAGGTGTCAAATCGCACGACCTTGGAGGCCAATTGACAGGTCCATTTCTCGAAATCAACTTATCGCCAAATTTTGATTTCAATAAGTCGATGGTTGCGTTCGCCGTATGGCACGTAGCGCCATCCTGTTGAAACCACATCTCCTCCGGATCAATGTCATCCATATTTTCAAACAAAAAATCATTGATCATGGTGCGGTAACGATCTCCATTGACCGTAACGCGAGCTCCGGCCTCATTTTTGAAGAAATAAGGTCCGATGATGCCACCAGCGTGAAAACCGCACCAAACGGTGCATTTTTCTGGATGTAATGGAGTCTGTAGGGTCTCTTGTGGATTGGTCTCGCTCCATATGCGGCAATTTTGCTTATTAACAAACCCGTTAAGCCAAAAATGCGCCTCATCGCTGAACACAATTTTGCGATAAAACAACGGGTTAGTTGCCAACTGCTCTAGAGCCCAATCGGCGAAAGAACGACGCATATAATGGTCTCGTGGCTTCAATTCCTGCACCAGCTGGATCTTATACGGGTGTAGGCCGAGATCTTTGCGCAAAATTTTCCACGTAGTGGACGGACAGAGCCCCAATTCCTGCGACCGACGACGAATCGATAAATTTGGATCTTCTTCCACACTTTCGTTTACAGCGGCGATATTCTCTTCAGTACGCACATTCCTTCAACGTGTTGGTGTTATTGCATCCTCTAGAGAGTATGTGGTACGAAATCTATCCACAGTTCGACGAATGGCTTGTTCAGATGGACGATTATGTACGCCATAAAAATGACGAAGTCGTCTATAAGTTGCGCGAATCGACGACTGATTTTCAAAGTAAATTTGGATAATTTCGTAGCGTTGTTCAAGCGTGAGTCTATTCATGATGATTTGTCAGAGTATACTGAAACGATAAAAAAAAATATTTCATCAAAATTTAATTTTTTGTGTTACTTTTTACAATTTAAAGTTCTATCTAGCTTAAAAAAACACCCCTTATTTTTAGTGTGGCTCGACCACGTAAATAAGTAGTGATGGATTCTTTTACACTGCCTCCACACGGAAAATTATTAAAGTAAAAAAAAAATAAAGAAGTTGTCCTTGTATTAAATGGACTTTCTGATTCTATGTTTTTACTTCAAGGAAGTAGATTTGACGTTTTTTACCAATAATACTAACTCTTTTGGGCCCAAACCCCAAATCCAAAATTAAAGTTAACAGATATTTTAATACAAAGCTGGTATATATAACTAATTTTAAATAAATAAATAACAAACATAAATTAAGGTATTTATTTATCGCAATGATTTTTTAGTAAGAATTGTAAAGTATTGATCTAATATCTATGAATTTATAGAGAGCTTTTACAACACCCATATCACATTTTTAGGTACTTATATTCTATTTAAGTTCAACAATATACACAAATTTTAATATCCAACAAAATAATTTAACATTTGGGAATGATTAGTAATAGTTATAAATATTCTCTTCAGGTTATGTTCAGAGTTCTAAATCTAGTGGTATTTATACTGAGTAATAATTGAGATATCGCCTTCTACTCAATTGTCAGTCCTCATTCGTATTTGGGTTAGTTATGGAAGTGTTTACAGTTGGCCCGTAATAGATAAGTTCCGGTATCTGTCCACCTTGAACTCCAGTTCCATTTGTGCTTTCTGATGAACAGTGAAATTGGAAAGTCACTGTACCCATATAGACTTCACTCAGACCTTCTTGTCCAAAATAACTGAGCTCACTTCCATCTAGGATAGCAGAAGCTGTGTAAAAACATTCTGGTTCAATTTGTATTGGGTTTTCAAAATATACATGAAAGGTATTACTTGATCCATCAGAGAAAAATTTAGTATTATTTTCAGCAAGTACTCTGCCTAAACGCTTCAATTCAATCTTAACATTATAGTCTGCAGCACCATTTGATGAGCCATATAGTCCAAAACCAACAACAAAAATCCTTTTATCCACACAAAACTGTATAGAGTCACAGCGGCCTCGATACCTCCATTGATTACTTCTGTATGCACATGACTGAAATCTGTGACAAATCTGGAATATAAATAAATATGTATGTAATTAATCTTGTTAATATATTTTTTATATGTATTATTTTAAAGTGTAATAATTACCTGAGCCTTTAGGCCAGCCCTGGCTTTGATAGGATAAGATAATTGTGGTTTGTTAGCTGCAGTAAAGTGTAAGAATATGTCTATTGTTTCTTGGGGAGTCAAAATACCAAGTTGTGCAGCACTATTTGCAAATTCTTCCAATGTCATTGTTGGGAATCTAATCAAATATAAGGCGCAGCCTAGCATGGCTCGCTTGTTTATGGGCGTTGTCTCTATTTCTCGCCGTACACATTCAGCTTGTGCCCATGCTAATGCAGCTTCAAAGAGATTTATTTCTTTACAGTTAAGAGTTTCTCTGGCCAATACTGATTCCAAGGTTGATACATCAATATCAACAAATCCTTCTGACGTTAGGGCCATCTCTGCCTATAATAAAAATTGTAACTAGTGTTATTTAAGGTAATAGGTATATTGAAACTGCAATACAATTTGCTTAATGGTTTATTCAGATCTTATTTAAGATTCAAATGTTACAAGGCTACATTTGACAACAACAGCTTTACATGCTTGACACTAATCATGCAAAAACAACACTTACAAAATGTATTGCAGTTAACCTAAGTATAACATTAGTTAATAATCTTATTGTTTTTAAACATGGATGAACTGGAAATACTATGTGGAATGTCATATTATGCTCTTGCTTTTATAACAATTAGTGAATATATATAGGTATAATATGCTATATCACAACCAAAATTTGAGTACCCAATTTTGTAACATACAGATTTCTATATTTGCATTATAATTTACAACAACTTTAATTACAAAATCTGTGAAGGCTATCTATGGATATGTCTTTGCAATCTGGACTTGAAAAATTTTGACTAGATGATTGAGAGAGCTCCATTTGTAGACTACTATAAGATGAGGATGGTTCAAGGCAGATGGTTGCTAAATTTTCAGACGACTCACATACCTGCGCATCTATCACTTCCCAACATCTTTGCATCAGTTCGGGTTCTTCAAATAACCGAGATTGGCTAAGCAGTAAACATGCATTTTTTGCTGTAAGGCTTGTTTCCAGATAGTTGACACAAGCCCGAGCTAAATGTGGTACAATATACTTCTTTGCTACATACAAAGTTGATAATACTGTATCTGCTTCTAACTGTATTTCATCACAATATAAATACCTGCAAAGATAAGATTAAGTTAATAATCATAATCATCATCATCATAAAAGATCTTCACAAGTCCACTGCTGAACATAGGCCTACCCCAAGAAATGCCACAAAGCATAGTCCTGAGCCACCTGCCTTCATCAACTTCCTGCATGTCACTTTATCTAGTAGAGGGACACCCTACACTTCACCTGCTGGTATGAGGCTGATGTAAATAGGGAGTAACTTGGGCTCATTATATAAAAAGATTAGGATTCTGCACAATAAATTCAAACCCATGAAATCAACTCGTAATATATTCTATATAGACGAAGTCACAGGAAACAGCTAATTTCATATAGGTATCAATCTTTTATTCCTTTTAGTTGTCCACTGGGGCTTTGGGCTAAATCAGCGACGAAAGGGGGAATGCTACTAGCGGTAGTGAGTTTTGGTTTCATATCAACCTATAATGCTTAATTAACCCGTTTGCTGTCCCGTGCACTACATATAGGGCACTGCTATTGTCTTACTATTGTGTCTGGAAACCGGACAGTCAAAAAGTATTTGTAATGGTTAGAAATCTTAAATAATAGACCTAGTTTTTTTTCTTGTCAAACTAACATACCTAATATTTTTGACCTCATTGTCATATTAGACTAGATTTGGAATCAAATGTAAGCTCAACTTAATTACTGAAAAATATTGTTTCTTTACTTACTTTAGCAGGATAAGAAAAGCCGATGGTTCTACATCTGGTACTTCAATTTCTGGCTTGCATTCAGCTAATCCTCCATAAAACATAGCATAGAATACTGAGCTGCCTGTAGCTAATACATATTTATGTGCTGGAATAGTTTGTGTATGTCCTGGGAAAAAATATTTATAATTATTTCTTGTTTTTTGTTTTTCCTTACTATTTTATTAATAATGAACTTAAATTTAATTAATAAAAAATGATATTGATGTATTATCCAAAATTTAAAAAACTACTATTTATTGCCATAGTATTGTGGTAGGTTAGCACTCGCTGTACATTTCACAGTAAATGAGCAACCTGGGTTCGATCCCCGCCAGCACCAATGAAATTGTTAATTGCAATTTTAAGTGCTGATTTACCACGTGCTTGGCGGTGAAGACAAACATTGTGAGGAAACCTGTCAGAGAAATAAGAAAAAAAATTTGATGACATGTGAAGTTCGCCAACATGCATTGGGGCAGCGTGGCAAACATTTCCTTGTCCTAAAACCCTCTTAAAAATGAGGGGAGGCCTGTGCCCAGCAGTGGTACTATATAGGCTGTAACTAACTGTTTATGACCTTTTTAAATCAAGACATTTTGACAGACAAAATAATTTTATATAATAAATCTTAGTTTCACTAATGAACTGTAAATATTATATGTGTATCTTTACATGCGTTTAAGATTTAGTGGATAATGTAGCAATAACTTTAATACACTTGTTGTTTTAATTACCTGGGCTACCAACTATAAATGTAATATCAGCCATCAATTGGTTGTTGAACATTGCTGCATTCCTTTCACGAATTGTGGGTTTAGTGGCTTGCCAATTTGGATCAAGAGTAGCGGTGCCTGGTGGAGGTGCAGGAGAAACTGTAGGTGAGGTTGCAGAATTGGAAGAACCGCAAGGAGAAGGTGGCCCACTATAACATTGAGATACTTGTGTGCCTGTTTCACGCTGGGATATTGTATGTGGCGGGGACAATGAAATACCTCCACCATTGTTAATATTTTCTGCTGTGAACAATTTTTTTTTAATTATTTTACTTATTAGTTAGATAACATTTCAGCTCATAAATTTACACAACAGAATAGGCAATATTTATTAATTTTTTTTATTCATTCATTACAGCTAGCCTAACGGCTGAACTTAGACCTTCCTCTTAGATTATAGGGGGAATATTTTGCCATAGTTGCCACGATCGGCAGTCGGATTGGTAGCCGTAGTTTTTAATATTTTGAATTGATAACAGGAAGATACTGCTGTTCACCCTCTGCTTAAGTCTTCCTTTTTCGTCTCTTGCAATAGCCACAGAATGACATGGGGTGGTAGATATTACGCCGCTACTCCACGGCAGTATATAAAACATTATCTCTCAGTAATTGACAAACACTTTTTATTATTAATACAACGCTTTATTACGCAAAAGCTTAGTGTTTCTAAATTTTAATCAATATTTACATATACAAAAATCTCACCATTCATCCAAGTATTTGTTTGAGCGACGGACATACTATCCCTACTGTCTTGTAACCTTTTTGGAGGTTTTGAAACAATTCTAGAACACAAATTCGACATAGTGTATCAACGAATCTATTCTATATTTTAATTTATAAACATCTGAACATACACAGAGCGTATTTCAATGACGTAAGTCAGCCATCTTGTTTCTGTTCTTTTTCCGAGGTCGCTGTGCGGGGAGCACGCTAGTGGTGTGCCAAGTCAGATAAACATAGTTATTCTACTCTATGAGACTCGAGTATAGATTCGAGCGCCTTGTAGTTTGCTTATGTACCTATTCGAGTTCTCAAATTAAAGCGTTCGGAAACAGAAACTAATTAAATCTTGCTAATTATTTAATTTTCACTGGTGTTTTTAGAAGTGAGAAACATTAGGGTATTTTAATTCGATGGTTTACCTACTAGTTTGTAGCAATTTAATATCAGGTTCGAGACACAGACCTGACGTCTGACTCGATTGTTTTTATACCGAGTACTAAAATGTTCGAATACCAAAAATGGCCAGCTCAAGATATCACCGTGCGCGCATTTGAAGTGCATGGTGCGGTTTTTTTTAGTGCTGCCAACATTTGAATTTTTTCCCCTATTTAATTATGCGAAACTTAGATTACAGTTGAAGGCTTAAGTCAAGTTTTGATTTTAAACATAAATTAATTGGAAGATTTTGATTATAAATATAGATAATATGTAGATATCGACCACCCCCTACTCCGCCCTCATACTACATATTCAACTCTTTTGTAAAACAAATGATGCATGTAGTCAAAGAAGTACCAGTGCAAACTGACGGTATGTGAAAATGTGAAACAGAAGTAATTTTGTAATTTGTAACCCCCAAAGAATCAATAAATCACTACCTTGGGTACCGACCTTTACAGACTGTTATTTGTCTTGCCTAGGTATTTAATTCTTACTCAACTGGCCTCAAAGATTAGGTATATAGGTACGTTTTAACTAGCCTAAGAAATATTTTATTTCTTAAAAGCAAATATTTTAAGAATATAATACTCTTGCTCAATTTGATATTTGCTAAAACGTAGATATTATCTAAATCGCAGGTAGTGATTATACACTCATTGGTATTATTTGTGTAATGCTCATGTTACTGTGAGCTTGAATAGACGAAATATTCACAAAAATACTTGTTTAAAACACTGTTTTCTGACGATGTAACGAAGCTCGTTTGCATAGTCAAAGAACATGTTGTAGTCAAACTGTGGGACACTATTGTACAAAACATATTTTAAATTATGTTATACGAAACAAATGTTTGAAGACAAATGTTTACAAATATTATCAGATATAAGGTTGACGTCAATTTACAACAATAATAACACAGACTCACTAAGGGGATGAATAATAGAATTCTGGACTTATTATAAAATAGAAAGATTCATTGTGCCTCCCGTTTGTTACTGAGTGAGTTGCCCATTCAAGATGTGCAAGGTTACAGAAATTTCTCAAAATTTTACATGAAGATTTTGAAATATTATCATCGATAGATGCCCCAATTATTAGAAAAATTTAAAGATGACACAAACTTCAGGCAATCTATTGCAGCTAAAGTTCAATTAGTGGTTATTCTGCTGTACTTAGCATCTGGAGTAACAGTGTTTTGTGATGTTTAGCAACTAAATTGAATAACAAAAAAAACACGTTTTTATGTTATTGAATAGCAAAAAAAAAAAACAAACCGCGAAACATAAGTGTAACATAAAACAACAGTGTTGTTCTCAATGCGAACACAGATAACAAATCTTAATATTTTACAGTTTCTGTGAGTGTGAACGCGACTATCGACAAAACACGTTGCATGATTTATTTTATGCGATGTTCCAAAACATTCCATGTTGAATGTTTTTTGGTGCAAACGTTGTGCTATTCATAACAACGATGTGAAATAAAATAATTGATCCATTTCGTTCTATTATGTAATGGTAAATGAAAACATCGTGAGGCAATCTGTATGTCTGAGACATGGACGTATTAAGTAAGTCCACGGTCTGAGGAATAAAATATTTTGAGGATACGTAAACTTCGCAACACCATAGATGGTCAACACGCACTGGAGCAGCGCGGCGGACAAACTGACAAACTGCTCCGTAACCAATTATATTATGTATATAGTTAAAACTGTCGTTAATAGTGTTACTTACATATTATGTACATTATTGAATTGTTTAATAATGATTATTTTTAGTACATTTTATTTCAAGTAATTATTATTCAAGTAATTTATTTCAAGCCAGGTGTTAACAGGCTTCAGTAGCCACTTACCATCATGTGGACTTACAGTAAGTGGCTCGTATTGTCTCTAAAATACCGTAAAAAGAGTGATAATTTTTTTTTCATTTCAATGATTAATTTACCAACCTTGAACTAAAGGCCGCGCACGCGTTCGTTGACTACGATGAGCGGGCTCCTGACAATTCAGTTCGGCGAAGCGACCGTCTTCGTCGATTAAACTTTCAAAGAAATCCACGCTACTATTCATCGATGACCGGGTTTGAAACGCATACCATATAACACTGCAAAGAAAAACATTGATTAATAAAAAAATTGTATCAAGATCTACTTTAACAAAAAGGTACCCTAAATTATGCGATTAAATTAGTACAAGAGAAGTGAAGTTGCAGCCTTTATACGTAGCACTTCTGGGCACAGACCTCTAATTTCTGACAGGGTTTTAGGTCAAGGATGTGGCCGAGTACGTGCTAAAGAATCGAACTCGGGTTGCCCGCGTACTGTGAAATTTACCCTGAGCGCTTGGCTTCTGCGCTACCACGGCTATCGTAAATACACACATACATAATATGGGGTAGTGGATTCTCGTGTTATAATATTTATATAACCTCTGATGCGTCTGTTAGTGATCGTGCAACTTCTAAACGAATAGATCATTTTTAAACAATGTTTTTTGTGAGTTGTTATATTGTTACGCTGCTTTTTTTGGAATGGTTCAGTCCCAGGATCCGATAAGAGGTGCCTTAGTACCGAAAGTTATTAACAAAAATTCTACATTTATGGACCAAAATGACTCATCTTAACAATATATTTAACCAGTAAAAAAATAATTGAGCCGATAGGTGACTATTCTTTTCTACCCATATCTGTTCACATCATGGCTAAAAAGCACAAAAATTGTGAATTGGCGTCCGAAACAAAATGATTATCTTTGTTCTAAACACTTCACAGATGACTGTTTTATTGAACATCAGAAAAGCACCATTTTGAAAAAGAGCAGTATACCCACAATATTTTCTGGTAGTACCAGTAAATATAAAAGTATTATATAAGTTATATAAGTTATAAAAGTAACCAGACTCAAGGGCCATAGTCAAATGTAGAAAGGTCACCTGATGATGACTTTGTGTTTACAAGACGTAAGTTTGTTAAATCCATAGATATAGTATACATTAGATTGGCGATGGCGTGATTTGGGTGAGACCAAAAACGAAATGTATCCGTGTGAGTGAAATGTGCATGTGTGCGACAACAATAGTGTTGCGCCATGTATCAACTTCAATTATCGATACAGAATACTATGTCTGTATCATGAAATGAATATTATTATGTTTGAGGGCATAAAAATAAAACTACAAACAAAAAGTTTGTGATTTTTATTTTCCACAAAAAATAACTAATATATTGTAAAAATGTCGTAAGCTCTCCTTAAGAGGTATTTTGCAATTTTGCTTCATACTTCAATCTAATAATCAAATAAGTTTCGATTATTAATTTAAGTGTTTATGGTTTGATAGTGCTGGCGAATCGTACATATGTATGTTTTTGTTTTTTTGTTTTTATAGTATAGGGTGACAAACGAGCACACAGTCCACCTGATGGTAAGTGGTTGCTGTAGCCCATAGACATCTACATCTATCCTCAATAAAGACTCAAGATGCAGATGCGTTGTTACCCGTGAGGACTAAGAAGGAATGCCTCTTTGCCAGTAAAAAGGGTCTCCGGTTCTCTACACTTACCATACGAAACACAGCAGCGTTAAGCTGCTATTTTACGCTGGTATTCTGTGAGAGCGTGGTTCTTCCCCGGTCGAGCCGACCCATGCGTACTACAACTATACATGTCAAGTATGTCAAAAAAATTTGCAGGACAAGGCATTCGTTTACTAATTTTCGAAAGGAAGAAAGCCTGTCTAGGTTTTTTATCACTTGATACAACTTTTCCACTTTTTTACTAGCCCGTTTTTTGTGCTCTTACATTTTTCAGTTTTCTTTGTTTCATATCTAATGTTCTCCGAATAATATCAATTGTTTTCTTCATTTTTTGTTCTTTCTCGAGGAATTGTCTATAACAGAAACGTTTGCAATTGAGCTACTGGGTTCTGGCAATATATCTCTGTAGACACATGACGATGCTTTGCGTACCGGCTTCAATATAAACTACAAACAAATATAATTAGTGTACACATTATGTACTTATCTATTACTGCGGTAGTAATTCATAATTTTTTTTGAACTGGGTGAATGCGGTGTGAAATTAGATTGTTTGAAATTTAATATAATATGTATTATTTCAGAGATACATTGTGTTTTCATGCGATGGCCAAGTTAATCTATTTATTTAAAATATCAAAGATTTTTAGTATTGATGTGGTCACTATAAGATGTTGTTAGGTTAGCTAATTACGTAATAACTTAAGACAGAAGGACCCTTAAGTAGGTACTGAATAAATTAACCGACTTGGTATTACATGGATCTCACAACTTTTTGCGGTAGAAGAACTGAGCTATGAGTTTTTTTTTATAAGTTATGTTTTTGATGGCATCGCCCTTTTTTTGTTGATCGATGCCGGCCATTTTTTTTAATTTCTAGCTTGAATCGATGGTTTTGCCCAGCGATAAAAGCTCAATAAACAATGCCCTTCCGATCCCACCGTAGACATAGACATCACCTTATTGCGTGTTAATCCGGGTTTCGCTACAGTCTGTGGAGCTTGACTACCCTTTGACTGTGATTTTTTTCGTACGTTCGTTTCGTATGTTATTACGTTGTAGGTAATTAACTTTTCAACACCAGTGATCAATCTTTTCAAAAATGGTTCGGTTTCATTATATTTCAAGAGAGAATCGCAAATGAGTACATGTTTCATTAGGTTTCTTTCTTTGTGGTACCTAAATATCGAGCCA